GGAGTGATCCCTGAGCACAGAGCCAGGAGTAAGCCCTGAACACTGCTGGTGTGCCCCCTTCCATAAAAAAGACAAAATGTGGGATATCTTGAAAACCTGAAAATACAAACATAGATAAATATGTAGAAAGTATTCCAGTCACAGGAAATTTAGAAACAAAAGCTTGATGTGTGATGACAGATCACAAAATACGACTGTGGCAACAGTGGGAAGGAACAGATTAGAAGGAGACAGTGCTTGGAGCTAGAGACTGATTTTCAGGGAAAAAAAGATGATGAAAATGGAACCTAAATGATAGATGTGAAAGATTTCTGAATAAAGAAAAATAAGTCAGATGACTAAAATGAGATTTAAAATGTTCATTTGTAATTGTACATATAGTAATCGCCAACATTAAAAAGTCGTAAGGACTTCAACATTTCGATGAAATCAAATCTAAACCTATATAGTTCATTAGTTTATTTGCTGTTGTTGTTCAGCAGAATTCTTGCATATTACAGATTGAATCTAAACTTAGTATTTAAATTGTACTATCCTTGGAATACTACTCTAGTATTCTAAAACAAATGAACAAGTAGTACTGTAGCACTGTCCTCCTGTTGTTCTATTTGCTCGAGTGGCACCAGTAACGTCTCCATTGTGAGACTTCTTGTTACTGTTTTTGGCATATCGGATACACCACAGGGAGCTTGCCAGGCTCTGCAGTTCAGGTGGGATACTCTCAGTAGCTTGCTGGGCTCTTGGAGAGTGGTAGAGGAATAGAATCCCCTGGCCGGCTGCATGCAAGGCAAACCCTACCCAGTGTGCTATCGCTCCAGCCCACAATGAACAGGTAGTTTTTATTATTAAAATCATTATTCATCATGGTTTGAATTGCTTATTAGATATAATACCAGGATGTGTAAAGAATTGCTGATTGACAATTGACAATTACAATATATTTAATATACAAACACACCTTAAGGGTATATATATATACATACATATATATATGTGTGTGTGTGTGTTTAAAAGTTTAAATAGACTAGCCAGTCTTCCTTTCTAGCTAGTTCCAATTAAATTTTTAATACATGTCTGGAGTGATAGCACAGCGGGTAAGGTGTTTGTCTTGCACACCGCCGAAATGGCCAACCCTGGTTCAATTCCTCCGCCTCTCTCAGAGAGTTCGCAAGGTACTGAGAGTAACTCACCTGCACGGCAAAGCCTAGAAAGCTCCCCATGATGTATTCAATATGCCAAAAACAGTGACAACAAGCCTCACAATTTGTTGTGAGACATTACTGGTGCCTGCTCAAGCAAATTGATGAACAGGATAGTGCTCATCACTGTCACAGTGCTCATCAAATTGATGAACAGGACAGTGCTCATCTACAGTGCTACAGAGCTAATACATGATTAGATTTTGACTGCCCTCTAGTGGTGTCTGTCAAATGAATGGGAAATGGTTCTGCGTGTATAGTTTTGGTCTATGTAATCAGTTCTTAGTTTGTCCACCCCCTGTGCCAAGACCTGTGAGGCAATGTGAACATGGCATTTTATTGAACACTGCCCTTAATTTTGAGGTGAGTTTAAGTTAAAGGCATTCTTCTGGAATTTCTTAAATACCCACAGCCTTGAAAGAGTGCTGTGGACATAATTTGCTAACTGTTCATTTTAAAATGTCAAATATTATTAGATTTACTATAGTAGAACAAAGTAATTTATATAACATGCTGACAAGAGTTATAGTTACATGGTAAGGTTATATTATGTAGAAGTTCAAAATCAAGGAAATATTTAGAATTGCATGCTTGAAGCTGGGGTGGGGGTAGAGTGTTATGCCTTTGACACTTTTGAGCTATTCCTCTGAAATACTGCACTGGAACTCATAAACATTTTGTTCATGTATTTATATTTGTAAGGTATTTTTGACAATTATCTATAGAGCATATACTTTGTTTTCAGCTATAAATTCTAAAAAGTATGCACATTTTCTTGGTTATATATTATATGGGTCTCTATAAAAATTTCTGTGGAACATGATTTTCATTTAGTATATCTTATGAAGAAACAGGATGTGGAGTCATTGCTTCTTTAAACCATGGAGACAAGTTATCCTAAATTTACTCTAAGAAATATAGACTATGAGATATGATTTACACAGACAATTTTGGAAGAATATCCAAGGAAACTCAAAGTCTGTATTATGGTGTCTATGAATATTTCCATTTCAAGTTCAGCTTAACACATTTGTTGTTTTCTGCTCCATAATCAGGAGAGCCCGGCAAGCTACCGAGAGTATTCGATATGCCAGACACAGTAACAACAAAGTCTCCAATGGAGACGTTACTGGGCCCGCTCGAGCAAATCGATGATCGAGCAACTAGTATTATTCAGGGTGTATTAGTGAGGGGAACAAACCTATACAAGCACCTTGTCCACTGTACCATCTCTCTGGCCCCCTATATTTTATTTTAATACAAAATTTTCCCTTCAACATATTTTATTTACGTTGATATAAAAATTTTCTTGCTTTCCTTAAACCTACATTTAAAATCAGTAAGCTCAATGTCCTGGAAGCATGAAAAGGAAAATCAAACTTCTGAGTATTTCATTAGTTTACTTTTCTAAAAATCTCAATGTTCCAGTTAGTAAAATCAGAGTTGAATCTACTGGTACACATTGCTATAACATGTGTGAATTTCTTTGCCAGTGTTGGTAGACTGAAGATCACTACATGAGAACATTTTTCCCTGAAAATTAGTCTCTAAACGTTTATGTAGCATTCCCATAAAAACCCATGTCTTTTATATTTCAGAAAGATTGCAACCACTATTTAAGGAAATGGTTAAATAGTGGTTGCAATCATGAAATGGTGCATTTCATGAGAAAATACTAACTTTAGAAAACTGAACTTGTCCTTTTTGGAGGAATGCAGCATCTAGAACTATTGATAATTGTAACCAGCTTCAAATGTCATAAAATGTGATGTCATTTTTCCTCAAAAATTAGTTTACTAACCTATGCTTCAGAATTCCTTTTCTAAGATATGGAATTTTTTTAAGTTTCACCAGAGATATTTCTCTCCTTCAGGTTCCTTTTTTACACCCAAACTGAATACTTCAAAAGCATTTTTTTCACAGAATATTATAATGCTGTGTCTTATTTTTAAACTGTCAGTTTATTTATATTTAGGCAAGAGGTTCAAGTATCACATGATGCTAGTATGTGTGCTGTTTTACCATGTGATCCTAATATGTGTGCTATTTGAACATACGTGTGTAGTAACACCCACATAAGGGGATGTTTTGAAATTGCGTTTATCACTACTAGATATAAAAAGACTGTTTCAGGCAGACTAGATTGCTAGCTGTATGTATGTGTGCATATATAATAAAGGAAAAAGGTAAAGGCCCTCCCGTTGATCGTCGATTTGCTCGAGCGGGCCCAGTAACATCTCCATTGGAGACTTTGTTGTTACTGTGTTTGGCATATCGAATACTCTCGTTAGCTTGCCGGGCTCTCCGAGAGGGGTGGAGGAATCGAACTCGGGTTGGCCATGTTGGCCGCTTGTAAGGCGAACGCCCTACCGCTGTGCTATCGCTCCAGCGTGTATAATAAAAGTGTGAAAAGCAGTTGAGTGTTACTTATTTAGAAACTTAGCCCAGCTTTCGAAAGTTTTATCATCGAATAGAGTTGAGTCAGATTCTAGAGTCACTGCAGTTGTCATTTTAAAGCCTTGCAATTGATCAGTTCATCAAATTAACTTTTGCTATATGTTAGGAGCTCTTAGTCTATTTTTCTTTACTTCAACCTAACCTTAAATGGTGACAGGTGATCTAGCTGTATCCTTATTGGTAATCTGCAGACCTTGTCCTGGTTATTTTTATAGTTCTTATTTGGACATATCAAATCAGTTGTTAAGTGGATTGATTACTTTTATGATGTACAAGGACTTTCCTCACTCTTAAAGATAGGACAGATAAACACAAATATTTTGCCAGCACCTATTGGTTCTGTACCAGATATTAGAGGCACAGTGGAGAGAACACACTATAAAATAGACAGTTTTAGAATTCTGCCATTTGTTAGTTGAGTGACTCTGGTCAAGTTATACGTTCTCTTCTTTGTGTCGGATCCAGATTTTAATAGAATTTTTCAGATATAGTGAAGTGGACCTATGTCACATATCCCGTGATTTCCTAGCAAATTGATTCTCATGATCATCCTGCCTCCCGGTTTCTTGGTCTGAGAATTTTATGTTCTTGGACTCAGTCTTGTGTGTATTTTATTTCCTACAGATAAATGTGTCTTCCCTTTGTGCCATTATGATCCTCATCACCATCCTTATTGCTTCACCCTTTAATCCTTTTTCCTGCAAGGCTAAATATAGCATTTGTGTGTATGGCACATTTCAGAGAAGACGTGGAATAGTACAAGAAATAGCCTCTTATTCTGTCTGGAATACTGTCAATGGTTATCATTCTCTGCCATTTATTGTTCTCTCTCTCTCCTTCCCTGCCTCCCTCTCACTGTCTCTCCCTCTCTCTTCCATACTTCAATTCCTGCATGCTTCTTTTTTTTTTTGCACCCACTAATTTGCTTTTTTTGGTAGAAAAATTTAAATCCTTTTCTTTGTCTTTTTTTTTCCATTTTTTTTTCTAAAGTTCATCTCCCTTTTCTATTACCAAAACTCAAGAAGTATCTGGTACATTTATCCTATAAATTATTTTTCTTTCTGAAAATAAGCTAATTGAAAAATAAACTACCCCCTATCCCCCAAATAAATAAATAAAGACCATATATCCTTGAAGTGTTCTTGAGTTTGGATAGCAGGGCTTGTCAACTGAAGCCCAGGTGTTTTCTTATGAAAACTCTTTGTAAAAGGGGAATCAAGTTAAGACTAGAAGGTAGCACTCTCATCAGCAATGTAGGTTTAATTACTGCAGTTCTATGGTACAAGCACCTCTCCCCTTCTCAATTTTTCCTTAATAGTCACAAGAATCTCTTGAAATTTACAGCTGCCAGAGCGGAAGTGTGTAGCAGTACTGGGGAACGGTTCCGAATCTTCCGTGCTGAGAAAACTTATGCTGTGAAGACTGGAAGGTGGTATTTTGAATTTGAGGCTGTCACTGCAGGGGACATGAGAGTTGGCTGGAGCAGACCAGGTTGTCAGCCTGACCAGGAGCTGGGGTCAGATGATCGTGCCTTTGCTTTTGATGGTTTCAAGGTGAGTAGAATGTGCTATGCATGAGGCATAGGAGGTTTGCAGGGTTCTGCTTTTGTAGGCTAATGAGGACCAGGCCTTCGCTGGCTGTAGGGTCCCACTAGTCCGTAATGGAACCTCCCATCACATTCTTTTTATATAGTTATGTCATAGTAATGTCAGAGCTCTCCAGAGCACAAACTCAGAAAAATCATTCTAGCAAAGCATTTGACTTCATTGTCTCAGTACATTTTCCCTCTCCTATGAATACAGTGAAATTCAATAAATAATATTTTCCTTCTCCATTGTTTTATCACCATGATTAATTATTTGCTAAATTGTTAAAATATATATATTTGTATGTCAGTGCCATAAGAGAGATTTATCATCAAGAAATAAGGATAGACATGGAGAGTATCATGCTAAGAGTATCATGAAAATGAGTCAGAAAGAGAGGGACAGACATAGAAGGACTTCACTCATTTGTGGAGTATAAAACAACATAATAGAGGCTGGCACATAAGGATAGTAGATACACGGGATAGGTAGATTGCTCCATAGCTGGAAGCCTGCCTCATGAGCAAAGGGGAGAAGGCAGCTGGAATAGAGAAGGGATCACTAAGAGAAAGATGACTGGAGGAATTGGTCGGGATAGGAGATGTGTGCAAAAAGTAGATCAGGGACCAAACACGATAACCTCAGGGTCTGTATTACAAACCATAATGCCCAAAAGTAGAGAGAGATTATGGGGAATTATGTCTGCCATGGAGGCAGGGGGAGGGTGGGAAAGGGGGGATATACCAGGGATATTGGTGATGGGGAATATGCACTGGTAGAAGGATGGGTGCTTGATCATTGTGTGATTGTAATGCAAACATGAAAGCTTGTAACTATCTCACAGTGATTCAATAAAATTTGAAAAAAAAATTATAAAATAAAGTTAAATTATAAAATACAAAAAGAAATAATGATAGATATGCACATTTAATGACCACAGGAATGCTTATAATCACAAGATGTGTTTTTATTTTCAATATTTTAGTAATTTAATTTTCAAGCTGACTGAAAGCTAGATAAGTGATTTTTGTGTAATTTATACATTATGTAATTATTATATAGACTATTTTACTTATGCATATTTTTTCTTTTTTTCCCCTTCTTTCTTTACTGTGTTTGGCATATCGAATACTCTCGGTAGCTTGCCGGGCTCTCCGAGAGGGGCGGAGGAATCGAACTCGGGTCGGCCATGTTGGCCACTTGTAAGGCGAACACCCTACCTGCTGTGCTATCGCTCCAGCATAGCACAGCGGTAGGGCGTTCGCCTTACAAGCGGCCAACATGGCCGACCCGAGTTCGATTCCTCCGCCCCTCTCGGAGAGCCCGGCAAGCTACCGAGAGTATTCGATATGCCAGACACAGTAACAACAAAGTCTCCAATGGAGACGTTACTGGGCCCGCTCGAGCAAATCGACGATCAACGGGAGGGCCTTCCCCTTCTTACTTTCCCCAACATCTTAGTTACATATATATGTATGTATACATATACATATATATATATTTATATACGAGTACTGCTATTTATTCAGCCACTGATTAGCTGATTGAATTGGGCATGAACTCCACCTTGATTAGCTGATTGAATTGGGCATGAACTCCACCTTACTTTTTTTTTCGTAATTTTATTTATTTTTTTCTTCTTGTATTTATTTATTGAATCACCGTGGGAAATGTTAAAAAGCTTTCAGGTTTAAGTCTCAGTCATACAATGATCAAAAAACTTTCCCTTCACCAGTACTCATTTTTTAACCACCAAAAACCCCAATATACCCCCCTTCCACCTCTCCCAATGCCTGTGAGGCAGATGATTTCCACTTAACTCTTCTCTACATTGATTACATTCATTATTTCTACAAAAGATGCACCATTATTGTTTAGAATTTACCTCCCAACAATCAGAATTGCTGAAAAGGCATTGTGGAATACTTTTTTTCCTATACCTGGTTATGAAAATCATATAATGTTGCGCAAAGAGCCAAATAATTACGAGATTGGTTTCTGTGCTTCTGGTGTTATGGCTGTGCCGGAGAGCTGCTTGTGGGGGGCAGCTCCTGACCTCGGTAAGGTGTGAAGGACGAGCCAGTACCGCCCTGCTTCCCATGAGACTGCAGTTGCCCCGTCACCGCCGGTTCATACCTGGCTTTCCAATAAGCTCTGAGGCAGCAGCCACCTTGCTGCTGGGGGTGGGAGGGTGAAGCGGAAGGGAGCAACACCTTTTCCCTCCCGGGGAGGCATGGCAGTGTAGTTTAACGCATGGTCCATTCACTTTTCTGCCGCAAGCTGCTGGGCTCTGGACTAAGTCCTTTTGCCTCTGGAGCCATGACCATGCAGGAGAGCTGCTCGTGGGGGGCAACTCGTGACCTCGGTAGGGCGTGAAGGAGGAGCCAGTACCGCCACACTTCCCATGAGACTGCAGTTGCCTGGTCACCACCAGCTCATCCCTGGCTTTTCAATAAGCTCTGAGGCAGCAGAGCTTATTCAGTCCGGATGTATTTCTGCTAAAAGCCACTGGGTTTCAAGATTTGTTTCTGAGTCTCTGGGATCATGGCCGTTAATGAGCTTGATCAGGAGCCAGAGAGGCCATTTGTAGGCGGCGACTTGGGGTCTCATTGGGATGGGGAGGAAAGCGCCAGTTCCACCCCCATCTGGTGAGGCCCCACGTGTCTCATCACTGCAGGCCCAAACCTGATTGTCCAGTGGCCTCTGAAGGATGGCAGTCACCAGGCCACCAGGGGGAACAGGCCAAGGCACGAAACCTATTCCCACCTGGAGTGGCCCAGCGCCAGTAACCTACTGTAGGAACAGGACGATTTCTGCCCAAAGCCTTTGGGTTCTGAGATTCGTTTCTGAGTCTTTGGGATCATGGCCTTTAAGCAGTTCGATCAGGAACCAGAGAGGCCATGCCTCCAATTATATAGCTGAGCCGGAGATGGTTTGTGGGTGTGTCTCCCACATACCTAACTTTTGGCCGTTTACTTTCTTGGTAAACTTTGCCCCAAGTTTTTGGGGTCTGGCCAAAGGCACAGCATCAATTTTGGGGTATCTGAAAGTCTGACGGTGCCATCAGGCTGCTGATGCACTCTCCTCACAGGTACAGATTGACCTGCTGGCAGCACCATACCCCCAACATATATATTTTTAAGAGTTAAAACAATGAACATATGATTAAAGCCATGCTAGAATATTTGTAATTTTGGGTTGATGAAATTATATGTATCTCTCATTTTTATTCTCTGATTTTCCTTTGTGAATATATATTTTTATATAAAGAGGGCTGGAGCAATAGCACAGCTGTAGTGTGGTTGCCTTGCACGTGGCCAACAGGGCAGACCCGAGTTAGATTCCTCTACCCCTCTCAGAGATCCTGGCAAGCTACCGAGAGCATCTCACCTGCACAGCAAAGCCTGGCAAGCTCCCCGTGATGTATTCGATTTGCCAAACACAGTAACAAGTCTCACAATGTTACTGGGCCCACTCGAGCAAATCGATGAACAATGGGAGGATAGTGAGTGTCTTATAAAGAGGGATGGAAAATTAAAAAAAAAAAACAATTTTAAAGAGATGGTTGAGCAACCCCCAAAGGTTTTCAGGGCTTACTAATAATAACTCCTGGTGGTCCTTGAGGAACAATAAATGGTGCAGGGAATTAAACTGGATTAACTGAGGTCAGCCACATGTAATGCAAGCTTCTTAATACCTGAACTATCACTGTAGTTTAGGGATTGTTTTATCCTCAGAACAACTAACCCAATCAGTTATGCAGCAGCTGATTTTAAAAAATTTAGATAAAAATATTAATTTTTGTTACTTAATTGTTACATTTGTAATGACTCACCACTTTTTTTGTCTAGTGACGTATTACATATCTGTTCACAACAAAGTGGTTGCTTAAAGAAAAGTCAAGAAATTTATACTAATTTTATACTAATTCTACTGTAAATTGGTGGCATCTCTCTATGGATCAAGTCACATTTACAAAAATCATTTCAAGTATATTTATAATATGAAATTTTTCCTGTTTTGATTAAAATGATGGCAGATATGTTCATGTTTGGATTGTTGTTTCAGTAATAGCTTACAAATATTTTGTCAGCCTGACATAATTTTGGTAGGTAATTGGATGCTTCTAGGTTTCTATTTTGCTAAAGTTTCAATGTCATTTGTACCAAGGAATGGAACTTTATTTTAAAATTGACAAAAATGAAAGCATCGTTTTCAGTGATGAATTTCCAGAATGATTCTCTGCTCATAGATCTTTGAATTGTGAGGACTAGAGAAAAATTATTTGTGATTTGGTAATCATTCATTATAGTAAGAAAAGTTAACTTCTAAGCACAAATCATTTTTCTTTCAATAGTAAGTAGAGTTATAATTTAAAAATAATAGGTTCAAAAATCATGAAACAGCAGTTTTTTTAACCAAGATTTCTCATTATGTGCTGTTTATATGAGGGATTTAGGTTCTCATCTACCTCCATTGTCTCGCCCTAAGTTCTTTCCTGCAGTGGTTGTGCAAAGGGCTGCTTTGGGTCATGCCAGTAGTGTTAGTGTGTTTGTTCTTCTCACTTTCTCTGTGACAAATAACTTGTCTGTATCCAGGCCCAGCGGTGGAACCAGGGCCATGAACACTATGGGCGCTCCTGGCAAGCAGGTGACGTTGTGGGATGTATGGTGGACATGACAGAGCATACGATGATGTTCACACTGAATGGAGAAATCCTTCTTGATGATTCAGGTTCAGAACTGGCTTTCAAGGACTTTGATGTTGGTGATGGTAAGTGAACCACATTTTGTGTTGTTTCCAGGTTTGTACTACAATGAAGCTATTTGTACTGTTGCTGAGTAACTAGCCATATATTGCTGGTGAAATAGCAGATTTGTGGCTATAAATCAAAAGAATGACTTCTGGCTTATTGATAAGATACTCTTGAAATTACTTTAGCAGAGACACTGTGTTGGTCAGCTATAATTTCAATAAGCTAGAACTGGATCTTATGAGTACAAAAATAAATGGCAGACCAGAGAAAGTTTTCAACAACTGTTAACTTTATTCAATCATCTATTATAGACTTTCTTTTCATTCAGAGCACATAAACATGATTAAAAATGAATAAACTACGTACTGGGATCCCTGCTGAATTCTGAGGGAACAAAGATGAATAAAACAGTGCTCTGGGCTGGAGGGATAATACAGCAGGTAGGGCATTTACTGGCATGCAGCTGACCTGAGTTTAATTATGTTCACCACATATGGTGCCCAAGACCTACGAGGAGTGATCCATGAGTACAGAACCAGGAATCAGCCCTGACCACTATCAAATGCGTCCCCCCAAACAAAAACAAAGCAAAAAACATAGTTAAATCAGTATGCAGATTCTAGTTTAGTTCCGTAAAAAATATGAAAATAAACATAATTCTATGAAAGTAATGAAGGAAGCAAATACTCCTGCTTAACGGGGCTCTGTGATGACATAGAGCAGTGGGTAAATAAAAGATGAACAACCTTTACAATGAGTTGGAGCCCAGCGTTCAGAGATGGCTATTGGCCACATGGATTTATTTAAATTTACATTTATTTTAATTATGGTAAATTAAAAATCAAGTTTCTCAGTTGAACTTGCCACATTTAACATTCTCAGAAGCCACAGAGTATTTATGTAATTACAGAAAGTTTGGTTAATGTTATTTTAGAGCATGTACATAAGATAGTACTTAACAAAATATTCACAAATGTATCATTTCAAAATTATCTACATTTTCTTCAGAAAGACTTTAGAATTTATTTTATTTTCAAATAAATATACATGTTTTGTGTTTTAAGAATACATCTGAATTTATGGAGCGATAGGACAGCATGTAGGGCGTTTGCCTTGCACGCGGCTGGCTGACCAGGTCGACCCAAGTTCGATTCCTCCGCCCCTCTTGGAGAGCCCGGCAAGCTACCAAGAGTATCTTGCCCACACAGCAAAGCCTGGCAAGCTACCCGTGATGTGTTCAATATGCCAAACACAGTAACAACAAGTCTTACAATGGAGATGTTACTGGGCCCGCTTGAGCAAATCGATGAATAATGGGAGGACAGTGCTACAGTGATAATATTTTAAAAGATTACCCAGCTCTTTGTGTTAAGTTCTGTATTCAATCAGTTATTCCTGGAGCTTTTGAACAAGCATGTTTTTCATTTCCTGAACATATATTTGATACATATTTGCTTTTCGGGAAGGCAGGTTGAGTCACAATTGACAGTGCTTGAGGGTTACCCCTAGTTCTGTGCTTTGGGGTTGTTTGAAATGGTGTTCTGGCGTCAGGGCTCAAGTAAGAGTGACTTCATGAAATAGAAGCACCTGCACCCCTGTAATCTATCTTCAGCCCTAAAACACAGATATTTAAAATAATAGGATATTCATCATTGTATAACTTAATTTCAGATTCAGACATCTGTATCTATGGTGGACAAAAATAACTTTTCCCATCGTTTCTTTCTCTGGTATTGTCTTTAGAATCAACATATCAAGGGATGGTAGGAGGGGTTCATTTTTGTATATTATCAGGGAACTACCACAGATATGGCCTGATTATTTTTTAAATATTGGTTGTTATTTTAAAATGCTTACAAAGAATGTTGTTCTTCTTTGGCAGTAGCACTGTAGCACTGCACTGTCCTCCTATTGTTCATTGATTTTCTTGAGTGGGCCCAGTAACGTCTCCATTGTGAGACTTTGTTGTTACTGTGTTTGGAATATTGAATACATAACGGGTAGCTTGCCAGGATTTGCCATGCAGGTGAGATACTCTCGGTAGCTTGCCAGGCTCTCCGAGAGAAGTGGAGGAATTGAACTAGGGTCGGTCGTGTGGGCTGCGTACAAGGCAAACGTACTACTCACTGTGCTATTGCTCCAGCCCTGCAGTAAGAATCCTTTAAATGCTTACATTAATTCTAATTTATAGTACATAGAATCACAGAATGATATTTGAATTTATAGATGTATAAACGCCATTTAAGCATGTAACAGATCTTAATATTCCAGTACTGCAAGGATAAGTCACTGCCATAATGAAGAGATAAGCGCTTAGGTGAATCTGAGAGGTATAGCCATTATAAGAAATTCTGTTTTGTTTGTTTTGTTAGTTTTACTAAAGTGAAAGTTAGTTTTACTTTAGTTTTACTTTGTAAAACTAAAAAAAAGCAAAACAAAGCTTTAGGGCCAGAGCAATAGTGTAGTCGGTAAGGTGCTTGCCTTGCACATGGCTGACTAGCATTTAATCCCCAGTACCCTATATGGTCCCTTGAGTACTGCCAGGAATAACCCCTGAGTACAGAGCCAGGAGTAAGACCTGAACACTGACAGATGTAGTCCCCAAACTACTGTAGCACTGTAGCACTGTCCTCCTGTTGTTCATCGATTTGCTCAAGCAGGCACCAGTAACAGCCCCCAAACTCCCAAAAAAAAAAACACCCAAACTTGAAACTTATGCTGATATTGTAGAGTTAATATGATGTCCTCATTACTGGTCTGAATATACTGAGGCCCATGTTGCTGCCTTTGAGTTAGCAGCATCGAGGAAGTATCCTTTTGGTTTCTAAAGCAGAATTTAAATTTTATATAGCCATGATCTTAGCTATTTACTTGTGAGGGGTCAGCCATCATTCTAAATTTTCTGCTTCTGAAAGCACTTTGGTGTCTATCCATATATGGAACGTAGCTTTTTGAAGTATAAGAAATTAAATGGAACTCCTCTGAATATAGTTGTGAAGAGAAGGAAAAAAGGGTGTCTAAGGAGGAGAAGGAGGAGATAGAGATGTCTAGTTAAATTATTCCAATTATTTCAGTTAGGAATAATTGGAATATTTAGTAAGGTAGCATTTCTATAATAGTAGTAAGCTCCAAACTAAATTAAAGATAAGTTACTATTTATAGTAATATCAAGTAGAAGTTACTTATGTTATTATAAATTTTAACAATAAATTATCACTCCAAAGAAATTATACAGTACATTTCAGAGAAAATCATATAAGTTTGCTAGTAGGTTAAATCTCTTTGTAAAGAGATTTAAGAAGGTTATCTAGAGTGCAAAATGGGAACAGAATAGAATTTTCAACTGAAGATTCAGTGAAAATGACAAAAATAGAAATTGAAGCTTTATCCAATTTGAACCATACACAAGTTGTTTTAGTGACAGTTCATAAAATTAATTTGAACCAATATTTTTGCTTGTTTCTCATTTGACATAGGTCTTTGCAAAGATATTTTTGATCAAGCATCACAAACACATTCAACCAAACTAAAAAACTTATTTTGTTTTGGTTTGGAGTCACACCTGGTAATGTTCTGGGTTTACTTTCTCTGTACTCAAAGTACTACTCTGGGATCAAACCAAGGTTGACCATGTGCAAGGCAAGCACATTACCTGTTCCAGTCCAGTGTAAAAAGCTTTTGAGCAAAGACGACAACAACAATGAAAACAACTGTCAGAAATAGAAGAAAATATTTGAAAACTATCTGATAAGGGAGAATATCCAAAATATATAAGAAATTACTGAAACTCCATAGTAAGAACAACTATTTGTAAAATGTGTAAAGAAACTGAGTAGGCATTTTTCTGAAGATGGAATACAGATTATCAAGAGGTATATGAAAAGGTGCTCAATATCCCTGTTATCAGAAAAATACAAATCAAAACTACAGAGATGTCACTGCACACCTATTACTTTTGTTATCAAAAACTAAATAAAATAAAAGGAATATAGCAACTGTTGGCAAGGATGTGAATAAAAGAACACCCTTATACACCATTGGTAATGATGTAAAATGGTATGGCCACTGCAAAAGACAGGGAAGTTTCTGAAATAACTGAAAAGGAAGATGAGAAAACTATTCCTCTTTTTGGTGTCTATACAAAGGATATAGCTACATGGAACCAACCTAAGTATTTATAAAATATGAATAAGCATAAGGAAAATACAAGTCAAACATACGCATTAGCCTTTATAAAAGAAGCACATCTTCCACAAAAATGAACATCTTCCACAAAGATGATCCTGGAGAAATATGCTAAATTAAATATACCAGACACAGAAAGTTGCAGATGATCATTTCACTCATATTGAACCTAATACATCTAAATTCATAGAAGCAAAGTGAAGTGAGTCTCTAGGGTTGGGGAAAGGGAGAAATAGGCATAAGAGAGCTCTTCTAGCTTCCATAAGCAAGGCCCAGATACATGGGTACCAGGACTAAATCCTCATGCCACATGGCTGCATAGGTGCTGGGATGTCCCTACCCGCCTCCCTGCCCACTCATCAGCCTGGCTGTCACCCCCACAATATGCCTCTGGGCTCTATCTTAGTGCATCAACAGCCCTGGCCCAGAGAAGCCCAATTGAATCCCCAAATGGATTAGTGCCCTACAGAAGTGTCTCTGGAACCCAACCATCTACAATCTAGGATTCCAGAAGCACGTGACCATGAAACCCATGATATTCAACATGAAAAATGGACAATAAATGATCTAGCATCTGCTCCTGGCAGGCAGGCTTGAATGGTGGTGGGAAAATTTGAGAAAAACATAATGCCCAAAAGTAGAGAGAGAGAATTGGGTAAATTGTCTGCCATGAAGGCAAGGTGAGGACTGGGATGTAGGGGGGTGCGGACATACTGGGATACTGGTGGTGGAAAGTGCACTGGTGGAGGGAGGAAAGTGTGCACTGGTGGAGGGATAGGTGTTTGATCATTGTACGCAGAATCTCGAACATGAAAGCTTTGTAACTGTATCT